CGGCCTGTTTTGCGGACCGATTCCTGAATTCAATATGGCGTCGAACGCCGATGATTTGTGAGTGCGTTAGGAAGCCGGCGACACCAAAAAACCGGGGCCGGCCCGTTGCATGAGGCCCGGCACGGCAAAGGTTGGTTTTGGCCTATGGTGCTTTCCACGACTCTGTCACCGGCATTATCATGCAAAAAGGTGTACCAGAGTCGTCCACGGCTAAGTATCATCATGATTGACTAAATGTCCTATTCCTTCATGATTTTAGCACAATCAATCCAGCATTCTAGTTTTGATACAGGTTTTGAGGTTTAAAAAAAACTCAAAACCTGTACGAAAACTGTTAGAAAATTTGAGACACTGTTCTTGCAAACTGTATTGGTACACAGACCAGTAATTATAAGCAATAGGTCAAATTTAATCCTCAAAGTCAAATTCCCTTCTCCTGAGATGCAGCACTGTAACTTACACGTAGTAAGCCTTTGGTCTTTCCAAATCTAATGTTCTCGCAATCCGGTATCTAATATACATGTCTGATTAAATCTCCTGCAACTTTGATAAAATTTGATACGCATCCAATTTGTATACTAGTAAGTCCTTACCACATTGAGAAGTAGATGAATTACGTATACTTATAGTACTGGTAATGTTATCATCTATGGTAACAATGGCATCATATGTACCATTTTTGTGAGTAGAGTACTCTACCAATACCATTATTCAATCACGTTAATAATGCCATACATGGTTTTTTTGTTTTTGTTTTGCATTACTTATTACGTAGTCCATAATTGGGTTGTTGAGCAGATCTGGCAAAATATGACACTGGGAGTGGGAGAAACAGGCTAATAAAATGATATAGGACAAATGTAGGTTCACATCCCTGTTTTCGTACCACATTTCTTGCTTTATCCCAGTAAATGTGTACCACATGTAGTAAATTATCATCATAGATATATTACTAGTATTTGCACTTAATATTATTAGACTCCATATGCATGCAGGGATCTTTCAAGATGGATTAGTTGCTAGGCAACCTCTCTCCCCACCCCAAATATGGTCATCCAGATGTAATGAAGTTACCAGTACTAACCTTTATCATGTTTATGGAAAGATTCAATTTTTCTCACTTATGTCACAGAACACTTCTCTGGATTAATGGCTGCACGTGTTGTCAAATCTAACTGCCAGTACATACATTTTGTGAATAATATATGCAAGTTCTTCTGAAATAATTGGCTTTCTGTCTGACTTGGAGGGCTTTTTTTGATAGAGGTCTTATTTCAACATTATCAATACATAAAGATGATGCATATTATGATTCATTATTACTCACCTTTACCACCAGGTGTCATACAATGAATAGACATACCGTCCTGAGCATCATATTAATTGCCATCTTTTTCTTCATTTTTCTCTAGGCATATGGCATTGTGTGGAAAGCTATTGACAGAAAGACAGGAGAGGTGGTGGCACTGAAGAAAATATTTGATGCTTTTAGGAACAGAACTGATGCACAGGTGTGTATTTAACAATATTGAATTACAATTATACCTGTACTAATAGCTAGAATTCCAGTTGAAGATTTAATCAAATCTGTTTTGAATCAAGTATGTTCTTGTTAATGTTTATAGCATACATGATTAGTTATATTCTCTAACATGCATGTTACATGTATGTTATATTATGAATCTACATGAAATATATACTGTGTATCCTGCAGCGAACGTTCCGAGAGATAGCGTTTCTTCAGGAGTTTGGAGACCACCCCAACATCATCAAACTTCACAATGTCATCAAAGCAGAGAACGACAAGGATATCTACCTAGTATTTGAGTTCATGGGTATGTTTATCTAATATATTAGTACTGTCTTTCTTGTCTATATGATAAGTGTGCAGACATCAACATTTGGAGTCAGGTTTAGATGACAGTAATACCAATATTTTATGAGTAGTTTGTAACTTACGTGTAAATATTCTAGAATGGAGACTAGAGCTGACCTTTCAATGACTGTCTTCTTCAGGGCAATTATAATTCATATTATAGATGCAGCACACAATGAACCAGTCATAACTGGCCTGATAAAGATGACAGACGGTCATTGAAGCATTAGCTCTTGTTAAACAAGTGGTTGTGAATAAAGAACTATTTGTAGTCTTACTTGTCTGCCATTCCTTGTATGTACAGACACAGACCTGCACAATGTGATTAAGAAAGGCAGCATCCTGAAGGACATCCACAAGCGTTACATCATGTACCAGCTGCTGAAGGCCATGAAGTACATGCACTCAGGGAACGTCATACACAGAGACCAGAAGGTAAGCATAGAGGTAGAAATTTGATCCACAGAGTGGGGTTAGGGGGTCCCTGTCAAAAACCCTGGATTAAGCTAATGTTATGGTAAATGCACAGTGAGTCATCAGTTGTTAAAGTCACTAAAAAAGGCAGCAGTCCTTGCTGTTTTGTATGTATATTTGTTTGTTTATTGAGATCTTTATTAGTATGGTAAATTCCATTATGATACTATTCTTTCTGGAGTCCAGCAACATAAAATTTTGCCAGTGACCTGTGTTACCATTTTTCCACCACATTACATCATGTCCACCACCCAGGTCCAACCTGCAAAAATGCATTTCCAATCTCCAATACGTCCCCAGTAAATGCACTCCTGTGTACATTGTACATCTATATAAAATTGTACCTGTCATTGTTTACAAAGCTTTACTTTCTGGACTCTACAGTCCATGACTGACTGAAGTTTTCTCATACAGGTAACTCTATTTTGTTACTTGAACCATTTTTTTTTTTTGCTTTGCTTTGCAGCCTTCAAATATTCTTCTAGACAGTGACTGTTTCGTGAAGATAGCAGATTTTGGACTGGCCAGGTCAATAACCCAGCTAGAAGAAGACACTACAGACCCCGCCCTGACAGAGTACGTGGCCACACGGTGGTACAGGGCACCTGAGATCCTGCTGGCCTGCCAGAGGTAGGGTTCTGTTGTAGCTCTCATATAGCTGAACACATTAAGGATTAATATGTGATACTAAGAATGAATTGCATCACTCACCATTTACATTGTGTGTTTGAATGAATTTGTGTTGAAAGTTTTTGAATGCAGTTGAGTGGCAGGAAGGGGGGATTTGGCACTACAGGTCGACCTTAAGGTCAATTTAGCAGCCGTAATGGTCTCTAAGCAGGGTGGTGCATCTGCCCACACAGTGACCAGGGATATTCCCATGTAGACTACTAAGTAAAGCTGTAATCCTGCTAGGCCTGTTGAAAGTATGCCAGACTCTCTCTTTGGTTGTGCCATTAAATTCACAAGAACCTAGAGTGCTGACTTCTAAGTTAAGAAGCCCTGTTTGATCACATTTTAAGAAATCCATTGATGATGCACCAGAAGATATCATCGTTGAATATTTCTCATTCTTAAATGTCTGTCTTCTCTTCAGATATACCAAAGGTGTAGACATGTGGAGTGTGGGCTGTATCCTGGGGGAACTCCTGATAGGAAAACCCCTGTTCCCTGGCTCCTCCACCATCAATCAAATTGAGAAAATCATGGCTTCAATAGAACCACCAAACAGACAAGGTTAGGTTTAGTGTTCTCAATTCTGTTCTTGCATGAATACATCTTGTTGAACATTAAATGGACTAGTTTTTTTGTGTTGAATGTTGTGGATATGGAGTGAAATTTTGTATTACTCTAATGCGGGCCCATGAAGTTTGAAACTTTTGTTTAGAAATCAAGTGAAGCTTGTTATTTCTTCTGTGAAAATCTCTTGATTTCTAGTATTCAGGTTCTCTTCCTCTGATTTCAGATGTAAGCAGTATACAGTCTGCATATGGGGCTTCTATCCTGGAGAAGGCAGCAGTAAGGTAAG